TAAGCAAGATACTGCATGGTGGTGAAACATATACGGTTCACTGATTTTGAATATTCTATTCAAAATATCTCAAAAGAAAAAAAAGACTATTTGTGCAGTCAACTATTTGAACTAGCAGAATGACTGAAGCATATAAAGGAGAATAAGCAAAAAAGATGTTTAGACATTTCATAAATATGGAATTTGATTTGTTTGTTTGTATACATTATGAGGTACCAGTGCAATTTTGTTACATGCATGGATTGCACAGTGGTGAAGTCAGAGCTTTTAGGGTATCCATAACCCGAATAATATACATCATACCCATTAAATAATTTTTCTCAATATCCACACCCCTCCTACCCCAAAACCCTCCTGAGTCTCCATTGTGTATCATGGAATTGGATTTTCTTCCACAAAATATTCAACTTAAATTTAGGAGTTATTAATTTTGTCTATATTACATGCTGTTTTTTTTTTTGTTTTTTTTTTTTTTTTTTTGAGACGGAGTCTCGTTCTGTCCCCCAGGCTGGAGTGCAGTGGTGCGATCTTGGCTCACTGCAAGCTCCACTTCCCAGGTTCACGCCATTCTCCTGCCTCAGCCTCCCGAGTAGCTGGGACTACAGGTGCCCACCACCATGCCTGGCTAATTTTTTTATTTTTTATTTTTTATTTTTAGTAGAGATGTGGTTTCACCGTGTTAGCCAGGATGGTCTTGATCTCCTGACCTCATGATCCGCCCGTCTCGGCCTCCCAAAGTGCTGGGATTACAGGCTTGAGCCACCGTACCTGGCCGGTATGCTGTTCTTTAAACTCATGAAATCTCTGAGAAACTAACTAGAAAGGGTCTTAATTCTGAATTTAGAAATGTTTCTAATTATATACATTTTGATACCAATATATTGTACATTCATCTGGAATACCTTTAATATCCTCATTAGCTGAGTAATACAGAATATGAATATTAAGTAATAGAGAAGTATTCCATAGACATTATCCAATTCTGCTTTCATTCATTTGAATTACTTTGAAAAAAGTCTTAATCCATAATGTCAACTTCTTTTATTTCTATTTGCCCCATCTTTTAGAGGATATCTCTATCTGAGGAAGATTTTTTGGTATGTGCATTTTGTTTATGCTACACATGCCAAATAGATCTCTCAAGATGAAACTGAGCTCATTTGGAAGTAATTTTTGGTAGCACATGAATCAGAACTCTTATTTTCTTCTCAGCACTACTGGTATTTTATTGCTTCCATCTATAGTCCAATATGCTTTTAGTGCTAAGAACCCTGAGGCCAAACACACAAAGCACTAAGAAAATGGGAACTTCTGGCGATTACAATTTTTGCCAGTCTTTCCGGGTTTTTCCCTCCCCTGGGAGAGTGAAATCACTTTAAGTTCACTATGAAACAGGAACATGGTGAGCACAAATGATTGACTGAAGTTGGTGATGTTGATTTAGGAATCTTCGACTTAAAGGTCAGGTACAAAAACCTTAAACCTGCTTGTCAAAGTCTGCTTGTCAAACGCCGATGGATTTTTCAAGACTCTGCTCTAATGTCACTTTTTCTATCAAGGCCTCTCTGGCCAACACAGGCAGAGTTAGGCAGTTCCTCCTTTATGTTATTGGCACACCTTAACATACTTCTATGGCAGCACTTATCAAATTATATTGCATTTGTTTGTCTGTCTCCACTCATGGATAGAGAGAAACCATTCTCTTCCTTTATCTGTGAACCAGAGCATTATCAAAATCAAGTTGGTTTTCAATAATTAATGGAAAGGATGGTCAGAGAATGGCTAATAATATTCTACCTTTGTATACCATAGGTTTCAAGGTCTTTTCACATAGTAGTGAGGAAGACTTGGCTTAAATTATTTTCCATCTTTCTTTTTTTCTTTTTCTTTTTTTTTTTTTTTTTTGAGGCGGAGTTTCGCTCTTTTTGCCTAGGCTGGAGTGCAGTGGCGCGATCTCAGCTCACCGCAACCTCCGCCTCCCGGGTTCAAGTGATTCTCCTGCCTCAGCCTCCCGAGTGGCTGGGATTACAGGCATGCGCCACCACCCTGGCTAATTTTTGTATTTTTAGTAGAGACGGGGTTTCTCCATGTTGGGCAGACTGGTCTTGAACTCCTGACCTCATGTGATCCACCCACCTAGGCCTCCCAAAGTGCTGGGATTACAGGCGTGAGCCACCGCACCCGGCTATTTTCCATCTTTTATAGATAAAGAAACAAATGCCCAGAGAGGTTATATGACCCACCCACGTTCAAAACAGTTAATATATTGTACACCTAATTCTCATGGCAGCAAGTTGATAAAGATTTGTAGATAGAAGTGGTAGCAGTACTGTTATATAAGGCAAACATAGCAATGGCTGGCCAGGAGTGCATTATGTAAGTGTTTCAGATTGGTTGACATATTTAGGATCTCATTACTTGTTTTAAAGGTCAATCTTAACAGGTTCTCAAGAAATTAACTTAAATGGACATGAAACGACACAAGAATATCAAATTATTTACATTCAGTAACAATATATGAAAATTCTTACTCTGTACTCAAGGTACAGTGAAGTCAGCAGAAAGACATAAAACATATCCTACATATGTATGTAATATATATAACTCTGCTATCTCTGAAATTCCGAACGTGACTCAGACTACTAACAGGGAATAGAATTCTTAGAGATCAATCCTTTAACTCTTTCATTTTACAAAAGACAGACAGAAATGGATAGCGAGAAAGGATAAATGACTTACTCAAAGTCACACAGCTTTTTAGTGGCAGAACCAGGACACAAAATCAGGTCTCCTTAATAATATTCTGACATTTTTAAAAAACAAGTTATGATTGAGAAGTGATACAGGTAGAGTTCTTAGCCTTCTAGGCATCTGGCTAATATAAGTACACACAGGCTGTAACACTGGAATTATCATTAAAAGAATGCCGCAACATGGTGGAGAAGTACACCATCTACTACTCTGTGTCTGTGTATTGGGGAGGTTAAGGGAACATATAATATGACAGTGTTTTAGGATCTAAATGGAGATCAACAATATTAATTATATTTATTCTTATATATTTTACATATATATTCTTCTATTTATTTATTTATTTTGGGACAGTCTCACTCTGTCTCCAGCGGCTCACTACAACCTTCGCCTCCCAAGTTCAAGCGATTCTCCTGCCTCAGCCTCTGAAGTAGCTGGGATTACAGGCGCCCGCCACCACGCCCGGCTAATTTTTGTATTATTAGTAGAGACAGGGTTTTGCCATGTTGGCCAGGCTGGTCTCAAACTCCCCTCGGCCTCCCAAAGTGCTGGGATTACAGGTGTGAGCCACTGTGCCTGGCCATATATATATTCTTATATATCCATTCACCCACAGACATTGTTACAAAAAAAATTATTGGATTTATCATTTCAGTGTGTCAACTAAAGTATATTTTCTGTTTCCTCATTCCTTTTTAATGTAATTTTTTTTCCTTTTCGAAAATAATCCAAGTAGATATAACCTGTGTGCTTATGTGTTCATAGCATATAATCAGCTTTTAAGTTTTGAAAATTATTTGATCACTTTCTCTTAGCCCTCTTCTCATTGCCAATAGAACACATTCTACTAGTTATGGGTTAGCTACAAAGTATGTGTCTCTATGAAGGGTCAAAGACCAAAATCAACTAATATTTTCAGCAAAAAAGAAGACATATGATCATACTTCTGGAAGTTTGTGGATTAACTTCTATGACCAAAGCTGCTTGTTTAACTGTTGGGGTGTGCTCTGGGTTATAGGCCCTGGGTTAGGAGATGAAAGCAATTTGATTTCCACAAGCATATTCATATCTCACAGATGAAGTCACACCAAAATCAAATGATTTCACAGGGCAACAGCATTGACAAAGAAAGTACTGCTTTGGGAATAAAAACATACCTCACACTGGAATGAATTTGTTTGTTAACTGATCTTCCTGCTGGGGATTATTGCTAGAGGTCCTCACACCTGTAATCCCAACACTTCGGGAGGTTGAGGTAGGTGGATCACTTGAGGTCAGGAGTTCGAGACCAGCCTGGCCAATACAGTGAAACCCTATCTCTACTAAAAATACAACAATTAGCTGGGCGTGGTGGCATGTGCCTGTAATCCCAGCTACTTGGGAGGCTGAGGCAGGAGAATCGCTTGAACCTGGGAGGCAGAGGTTGCAATGAGCCGAGATCATGCCACTGCACTTCAGCCTGGGCAACAGAGCAAGACTCCATATCAAAAAAAAAAAAATTAAAAAAAAAAATACATATATATACACACACACACATATATATACACCTTTATCTGTTTGAGATCAACTATTGTGCATATCTTTCTGTTACTATTACAATCAGAGTCTGTGTTCTTCCTGCTACTCCTTTGTTGGATGCAGAGGTGTATTTCCACAGCATTTATATAGCAAAGTCTTTGATTCCTTTTAGCATCATAACTTGTACCCTAACTGCCACCCCCAATTAATGCTAATATTTACTGTGATCCTCAAGAGTTCCAGTTTAAAACAAGAGCCCACATTATGAAAGAAACTTTAGGTATTCAAAGTTATTTACAAAGTCCAATTCAAAATCAGTTTCTCATTGAGGCTGTGAAAGAAACTTGTTTATAAATCACAGCATTCGAATTTATAATGTGAAAAGTTCTAGATATTAATTTTTAAGGTATGTAAAATTATAATATTATGCTATATAAAAATTGGGGTTATTTAAGTACCAATTCATTCATTTCCTATAAAATTTCAGTAAGACATTTCCCATGTATACCTAACATTGAAGATGATTCATTGAGGTCCGCATTATGTTAAGCCAGCCATGACTTATAACTTAATTTTTATCCATGTCACAGGTAAAAAATATCTGTCAATTCTTGTTAAAAAACTGTCACATGAAATCAATATAGTCAATAGGAACATAAAACAACAATAGAAGGAAGACATTCAGAAATATAAGCAACAGGCCTTGCAATGCTTTAAGATGTATTACTCACCAAAAACAAAGTTCGGAAGTTGTTGAGATCACCAAAGAACTCTTCTATGCTCACTGTCTTTGAGTCAAAAATGAAGTATTCTCCGAGATTCTCATAGAGCTTCATCATGTTGTTGTGCATGGTGGAGAGTTTTTCATACTGTTCTCTGGCACTCTTCGTAAAGCTGTAGCTTTTTGTTAAGGAACATGACCCAACAGTACCTTTTAAATGCAATCACTAGATGTTAAGATTGAATTAAATCATCACTTCTATAAATATATTAGTAATGCACAAATACTTGTGCATTAGTTTGTTAGGGCTGCCATAGTAAAATACCACAGATTAGGTGGCTTAAACAACAGAAACTGATTTTCTCACAAATCTGGAGGCTAGAAGTCTGAGATCAGGGTCTAGTGGGTTTAGTTTCTTCTGAGGTCTCTCCATAGTCATTCCTCTGTCTGTATCCTAATCGCTTCTTCTTACATTAGACATATTGGATTAGGGCCCACACTCATCAGCTCATTTTAACTTAATTACTTCCTTAAAGTCCCTATGATCAAATATAGTCACATTCTGAGGTACAGGGTGGTTAGGACTTTAACATATGAATTTTGGGGAAGACACATTTTAGCCCAAAATAACTTGCTAGAGTCATTATACTGGTTAGTGAGACTTGAAGATCTTCAAATTAGGCAGAACTATTCAATATGTAACCACATGGAACATATTTGTTAGAAAATGTTTGCTAAATGAAAGCATATAGGCATAAATACCAGAAAATGGCCTCATATATTTTTATGAGTAAGGTAGAAAACAAACAGTGACAAAAAACTTAAAGAAAAAATTATATATATATATATATTTTTTCTTCTCTTTTTAATATATATCTCTATATAAATAGAGATAGAGGTTATAGTGAGGCCAGGTGTGGTGGCTCACGCCTGTAATCCCAACACTTTGGGAGGCCAAGGTGAGCAGATCACAAGGTCAGGAGTTTGAGACCAGCCTGGCCAACACAGTGAAACCCCGTCTCTACTAAAAATACAAAAAATTAGCCGGGCATGGTGACACGCACCTGTAGTCCCAGCTACTTGGGAGGCTGAGGCAGGAGAATCGCTTGAACTTGGGAGGTGGAGGTTGTGCTGAGCCAAGATCGCATCCCAGCACTCCAGCCCGGGCAACAGTGTGAGACTCCATCTCAAAAAAAAAAAAAAAAAAGGTGATAGTGAATTCTGTATATGAGTGTTATATATGTGTGTGCGTGTATACATATATGCATAACCCACATAAGGAAGGGAGAGAAGGAAGAAGGTGATGGGGTTCAAGACACACTTCCCCAAAATATGGCACCTTGGCATTTGAGAAATCAGCAAAAGCAGGAAGATCTCTCTGATCTTCTTCTAAACCTTTTCTCCTGAAGCAGACAAGAAAATAATTCTCTTAACTGCCTCTGAAGTAGGTTATAAGACCCTCATTTCAGAGCTGCTCTTCCTATACCTGAAGGAAAAGAATGTCCTTATCGCTGGAGACATATGGACGCAGAGAAGAATCTGAACAAATATGCCTTGCTAAGTCCCCCCAGCTCCTTACCATTAGATCATACCCCCTTTGCCCAATTATATTTCCCCACTGTCCACTCTTCATCAAACCTAATCATAAAAATATACAAGTTTCCCTATTTCTTTTGGTCTTCATTTCTGAGGGCTCCTGTGTCACATAAAATTTATATTAAATAAATCCATAAGTTTTCCTCTTGTTAATCTGTCTTTTGTTTTAGAGGTCTCAGCCACAAACCCAGCAATGGGTGAGAAGAGAAACTGCTTTTCCTCTATAAAGGAGAGAAAGTGGCCTGGCAAGAAAGGAGGAAGAGGGAGAAGGAGGGAACGGGGGAGGGAGAAGAGAGGATGAAGGGGAGAGGGAGAGAGAGATACAGAGGGAGAGGGAGAAGGAGAGAGAGGTAAAGAAAATTTGCTGTAGCTCTAGAGAGAATTTTCTGTACCTTTAGAACCTTAATCGCTCAAAGGGCTTGTTAAAACACAAGTAGCTGTTTGCTGGGGCCCCAGATCAGAGGCCTAAGAATTATCCTTTCTAACTAATTTCCAGGTGATGCTGATGCTCCTGGTCCAGGCCCACACTTTGAGTAGCATGTTTTAGAAAATTAAGTAGAAGCTATTATCCCCAGAAACTAATTTTACCAGTTTTTAAAAAATTTTGAAGGAATAAATGATCTTAACAACCATCATTACCAAATCATAAAATGAACGAAATATATAAATGTGTCCTACTAAAGATATCTCACTATATATAAATTTATACTTACAGAAATAAATTATAATACATTTTTTCTGATTATAGAAGATATAAATGACCCTTTTTTACAACTTAGAAATTAAAAACTTAAATCAACTAAAATTTCCCACTCAGAAACAAGTATTGTGAACATCTCGAAGCATTTCCTCCTGGTCTTTCTTCTATGGCTAGTAACTTTTGATTGTTACGGATAAGAATGTTTTAGAAAAAGGTAAGTGGACTAACCATAAAGAAGAAAGGAAACAAAATCAACAGTTTAAAATTAGAGTTAAATCCATTAAAAATTAATAATGATCACAGAAGTAAAATTTCTTTAGATGGAAAAGTAATTGATTTGGAATTGTATAGAAAAATAATGGTGCAGTCTGGGGCATACTATTTTAAGATCTACTATAGTGTATTAATATTTTTTGGTGCTATTATTTTATCAAGTACTGATAATTGTGCCTTGAAAAACTTGACTTTATAAGATTTTCTGAATTCTTCACTGTGTTTTATTATAACCTGGGGCCAAATTTATTTTCCATGGGAACACAGCTCTAGTTCTATAATGAAAGTCAATGGGGAAATCAGACCATTTCTGGAAAATTACTTTGCAGCTGACACTTATGGAATACACCATGATTTTAAAAGTGAGATGCCCACTTCCTGTTATTTTTTTATGCTACATAAGTATTAGCATTCACATTAACAACACAACAGCCCCTTTCATGCTGACAAGTGACATTAAATCTTTCAATCCTCAAGCCCATTTTTATGTCAATAGACCCGAAAGAACAAACACATTTCTGACAGACTCTACTTTCTTTTTAGCAATGAAAAAGAAGTTTTTATATGCTTCACATATAAAACATTCTGATTTTTACCTTTGAGACTGTCATCATATATATATTGGTTTTTAAGAAAATGTTTAGCATCGTATTTAAGCATAGCAGAAAGAAGACTCTTCATTTTTCAGCAAAGAATGAAAGTGACATTTCTGTTTTCTAGCCTCTCTTCCCTAAATAAAATAGATTCATTCCAGGGACTTGCTAGGCAGAAACACTTTGCAAAGGTCACTTACTTGTAATCTATTTGCAATGCAAATTACTAAACTGTTTGTATATTGCAGAAAACTCAACATCTGTACAACACAGAGAAAAAGACAAAGATAACAAAAAAGGGAAAATGTGTATGTTCCCATTTATCATAACACAATTTTTCACCAGCTAAAACATGTCCATGTAGTGATACCAAATTTCATAAATTTGTTGTTATAGAACAAAAACTGGTTTCAGAAATTGTCTCTGTACCCAAGTGAGGAAATCTGAAAAATTCTGAGAATGGTTTATCTTCAAAATAACAAATGGAAAGCAGTCCAATCTCTAAATCCTTCACTTATCTTCCAAGAGATTACTTTGTAAAAGGGATAGATGGCTGGCGAGTCAGCACTGAAATTTTTCACAATTGCCACCATGTCACCAAATCCTACATGGGACTGCAGGTAAGAAAAAAAGTGGACATCACTCCATATCATCCCTGTATTTAATGTGGAAATTTTAAAAACTTACCATTTATTTTACATTATCTGCATTATTTTTTAGAGACAGGATCTTGCTCTGTTACTCAGGCTGGAGTGCAGTGGCACGATCCTAGCTCACTGCAGCCTCGAACTCCCAGGCTCAAGCCATCCTCCCGCCTTAGCCTTTCAAGTAGCTGGGACTACAGATGTATGCCACCACACCTGGCTTCATATGGGAAATTTTTATTTTGTTTTTTGAGCAGTCACTAAATACAAGATACTGGGGTGGTATCATGCTAAGCATCGTGGTCGATAGAATGATCATTAAAGCCTTAATCTCTACCCTGAAGAAGTTTATAATCCAATAGTACAATAATTCTACCACCATCAATTTGCATGTGTATAAGACTTTATCACTTATTATATACATTTCCTTCCATTATATCCCATATTCTTCATAACAACCTTTTCAAAAAGGCAGAGCAATATTACCATTCAAATTTTAGAGTTGTGGGAGCTAGATAAAAGGCAGTTATCCATTTAGGGTTAGAACGCAGACATTGTAATAATCCATGGCATGACACCTAGTTCTTTCCATATAGAAGTGTATTGTTTACAATAACAGTGACCTTCATGTGGCAAAATCCAATATTCACTCCTTTATTTTTCTTTTTAGGTCTCAGCAGCATATGACACATTTAGCTACTTCTCTTAATTTCTGTGACACAGAAATGAAAAGTTTTCTTTCTCACTTCCTCTCCTCTGGTAACTTTTTGTTTTTGTTTTTGTTTTTTGTTTTTTGCTTTGTTTTGTTGTTTTTTTGAGATGGAGTCTTACTCTGTCACCCAGGCTGAAGTGCAGTGGCGTGATCTCAGCTCACTGCGACCTCCACCTCCTGGGTTCAAGCGATTCTCCTGCCTCAGCCTCCCAAGTAGCTGGAATTACAGGCACAGCCCACCACATCCAGCTAATTTTTGTATTTTTAGTAGAGATGGGGTTTCTCCATGTTGGCCAGGCTGGTCTTGAACTCCTGACTTCAGGTGATCCACCCACCTGGGTCACCCAATGTGCTGGGATTACAGGCGTGAGCCACAGTGCCTGGACTCTTCTGGCAACTTCTATAAAATGTTAGCGTAGAGGGTTTGGTCCTGAGCCCTCTCTCTGCTTTCTCTGTCTAGTTGATTTCAGCAATTCACATAGCTTTTGTCAGGCCTCTGAGCCAAAGCTAAGCATCATATCCCCTGTGACCTGCATGTACACATCCAGACGGCCTGTTCCTGCCCTAACTGATGGCATTCCACCACAAAAGAAGTGAAAATGGCCTGTTCCTGCCTTAACTGATGACATTACCTTGTGAAATTCCTTTTCCTGGCTC